CCTGGTACTTTGATTATTTTTAGGAAATGTAGGATGAGACAATACACTGACCAACAAAGAAAATATTGTATGCAATCTACAGTTTCAATTGAAGAGATATTTGTTTTATGATCCCGCCTTCGCAGATTTTATTTGTGCACAGAATTATGCATTCGTGGAGGCCTTGAACTAGTTAGTTCTCGAAAATAAACGCAAAATAACAATAACTTACCGTACTTAAAATACACAAACAATACTGTCCTTGACAGTTTGACGACATATTCAGATTGTCGTACAGTGAAGTTTCAACGGATCTTTTTGCCGAATCCTTTTGCCGAATCCTTTTGCCGAATCTGTTTGCCGAATCTTTTTGCCGAATCTTTTTGCCGAATCTGTTTGCCGAATCTTTTTGCCGAATCTTTTTGCCGAATCTTTTTGCCGAATCTTTTTGCCGAATCTTTTTGCCGAATCTTTTCGCCGAATCTTTTCACCCAATCTTTTCACGAAATCTTTTCATCAAATCTTTTCACCAAATCTTTCTTTATCGGCTTGTGTAGTCGAATGTCGATGGTATTCACATTGTGAAACTAATTACTTCAAGTTTCAAAGAAAAACATCCGCTGGAGTGTCACGCTACTTGGCGAACACGTGAGGATGCTGACGTCAATCCCAACCTGCGGAGATCACACACCCCGCCCCCGAAGGTGAAACTCAAAGGTCTCCGTTTCAGGTTTTTTACGCTCTCACACTCAAGACCTCAGTTTTTTTTTCATTTGCAACTTCTTGGGATAATTTTATTTTTTGTGACTCTATATCACTTTCATAATTATAGTTGTTGCACTCTTTTTTAGGAAAGTTATAGACACAACGAAGTTTCTACATACTGTTTCTTATATTAATGATTTAGTATACAATATTAATGATATAGATCCATAGGTTTTTTCCATCCATTTCCACAGTGAGTTATTATTACAATAATTAAAAACACTCACACATTTAACTGAAACTTGTTTGAAAAATTGTTAATTGAAACATAATATTTTCATTTAAGTTAGTTAAGTGTAAACTTTGCTTATTACAGTATTGAATTACTTTGAATGTATTTCTTCAACGTTTCGAGGACTTCCTTTTCAGCTGTTGAGAGAGATGAAAAGACTTTTGAAGTTAAAGCAATACTTTTTATCATGGGATGCGACGGTAATCTTCCCCCGCTGGATGCTGTGATCTGGCGCTGACCCACACGTAGGCTTGCCGGGTTTTCCCCGACCAGGTATCTCCCACCAGCAAGGCACCGCGCCACCGCGCTCTAAGCTCCCAACCGGTCTTCCGGCACGTGTGGGTGTGTATTGCATGTTAGAGTAAGTGTGTGTAAGTAGGGGAGGAGGATACGACAAGGAAGAGGAAGGAAAGATGGCGCAGCCGGTAAAGCTAGTGTTATCCTCCAGAGTGCGGCTGAATTCGACCTAGCTATCGAATATCGGAAAACTTGCAATCTCCGTGACTCCGGAAGAACGAGGTAATCTTAGAAGAACGTTACAGATATTATTTCTATGTGAAAATGAAGAATAGAATGGTAGGATGCAACAGCTTCGTGCAGAGAGCGATAAATATAAATAGAAATGCGATAGAAATAATACCCGCTTTAAAGAATATTTTGCTGCTTGATATATTACATTTTTAATTGTTAAAAGAAATATTATCGTTCTAGAATGCTTTATGAGCATTAACATGTAACAAGTAAGATCCAAGATACGGATAGCAAAGAGCTTATGTAATGCCAGGCGCGGCGAGGGATACAGCTTTCAAGCTTCAGGAGAAAAACAGAGTTTAGTTTAGTTTATTAAACGTGAGTCATTCCTGTTTTTTTACCTACATACCACAATGGTCACGTGTCTCACAAGCACATTAACGTCGTTTATTAATGTTGGCCTTCGGGTCGATGTCAGGCATTGCCAGCAATCATTGAAGCGCCTTGACATGGGCCGCGTGGGATGCTCATAAAAAAGTGTGTGACCACTACAGGTGCTTCGTTTTCAAAGTCATCGTTGGATATATTTCATTATTGAAATGGATTTTAATGCAAATGATGCATGAGAGGAAGATAAAAAAGAAAATAAAGTAATGAGAAGCAGACGAACAGAAAAAACTCCTCAACTACATTTTGCAGATTCCTCTAAAGATTGACTCGATTTGGAAAGTATTTTAATTTTTCGTAAATATCCAGAGGTTTCCTTTTTTTGTTTACAATGGTGACAGTGATTATTTTGATGACATTTGGCCTTGGTAATGCAATTATATGTTATATTAAAATCTTACAAAGCATTCTAGGAAGACAATATTTCTTTTAATAATTAAAAAATAAAATTTCAAGCAGCAAAATATTTTTTTAAAGAGGGTAATTTTATTACAGTTCTATTAACATTTATCTCTCTCTGTACGAGGCTGATTTATCCTAGCGTCCTATTCTTTACTTTCACATAATATCTGCAACGTTCTTGTACGTGTTTCGATGCTGGATTGCTATGTCCAATTCAGCCACTCTTTGGAAGAACATACTAGCTGCCAGTTGCTCTGATCTGCACTTTTCCGAGGTTTCTTGGATCGAAACCAGGCGAATGCCTGAGCAGTACCCTAACAAATGGGACATGAACCGTGAGCGATCTTTCCTTCCTCTTCCTTGTCCTATCCTCACCCCTTACACGCACTTACTCTACCACGAACTACACAACCACACAGGCCGGGAGACCGGTCGGGAGATTAGAACCTGCTCTGGCGGTGCCCCGCTGGTCGGAGGGTGGGTTGAGAAAAACTCCGCTAACCGACGTGTAGGTCAGCGCCAGATATCACCATCTAGCGGGGCAAGATCACCACTTCCTCTAGAGGGGGAGTCCTGCACCACACTTTCGAAAATAATGACATAAGCAGCCGACGCTCGAAATCTCAATTAATCAATCGACAGACCGCGGGTGATCTTTTCTTTCTCATTTTTGTCCCCTCATCCACCCTCCCACACACAAACACATTAACACACGTACTATAACACATCGACTGTAATCGCAACTCACCGTGTTGGACACCAGAATTGTCTTCACATTTTACCAGCGTGTTCAGCACCGTCCAAACTGCGTACAAGTACATTTGTAGGAGCTAAGAAGCACAGTTAGTATCTGGACCTTTCGTGACCTCATTGCCTGCGACCGAGAGGAAATCACCGCGTGTCGTCAACGGTCCTGCGTCCTTTACATCGGTGTAGATTTAGCCTATCTCTCGTCACGATCTCAATTCCCTGGGAAAACGTGTAGGGTGGCAAGAACGAAAGGTTTCGGAACAGGTTCCGAAAGGCGGGAAGGTTGCACTCGTACGTGAATAATTCAAATGCAATTATTGTAATTAAAAACATTTCCCTCAAACAATCCTCTTTATGTAAATATAGGATTGCAAAATTTAAGTATGAATTTAATGATCGGAATAAAGTAAACAAACACATAAAAATTAAAATAATTATATAAATTTAAAAAGTAACCAACACATTTCAATACAACAATGGAAACAATTTTTAAAATAATGGCATATTGCAAAAAAGTACATAACTAAATTATAGTGGGAAAGCGCCAAACCCACACAATCTAATGATTTAGAAGATCCTTTCAACAGACTTCGGTAGCATTATTAAGAACATGTATCACTTTGTAGAGTGCACTCCTTACTAGAAACGAACCAGCGAATATGATCCTCGCCATTATCATAAATGCACGCACGCTGAAGGAAGGTACGATTGAACGTGGAAAGAAGGAACATTGACGATGGAACGAAGCAATGATGGAATGATGGAACGAGGATGATGGAACGAAGGAATGATGAACAGAAGGAATGATGGAACGAAGGAATGATGGAAGAAGGAATGATGGAAGAAGGAATGATGGAACGAAGGAATGATGGAACGAAGGAATGATGGACGAGGAATGATGCCACGAAGGAATGATGGAACGAAGGTCGATGGAACGAAGGGATGATGGAATGCGAAGAATGGATGGAACGAAGGAATGGATGGAAGCGAAGGAATGATGGAACGAGGATGATGGAACGAAGGAATGATGAACGAAGGAATGATGGAAGAAGAAGATGGAACAAAAAAGGGATGATGAACGAAGGAATGATGGGAACGCAAAAGGAATGATGGAAGAAGGAAATGATGGAAGAAGAATGGATGGTAGAAGGAATGATGAACGAAGGAAATGATGAACGAAGGAAATGATGGAACGGAAGGAATGATGGAAGAAGGAATGATGGACGAAAGGAATGATGGAAACGAAAGGAATGGAATGGAACGAAGGACTGATGGAACGAAGGAATGATGACGAAGGAATGATGGAACGAAGGATGTGGAAACGAAGGAATGATGAACGAAGGAATGATGAACGAAGGAATGATGACGAAGGAATGATGGAACGAAGGAATGATGGAACGAAGGAATGATGGAACGAAGGAATGAATGGAAACGAAAGGAATGATGAAGAGGAATGATGGCCGAAGGAATGATGAACGAAAGGAATGATGGAACGAAGGAATGATGGAACGAAGGAATGATGGAACGAAGGAATGATGGAACGATGGAATGATGGAACGATGGAATGATGGAATGATGGAATGATGGAACGATGGAACAATGGAATGAACGGGTTTAGAAATTTGATAGACGATTTCGTCAGTCATAACGTTCATTACACTGCCGATACAACTGTTCGCCCGTGGAAGGCGCGGAGGTCGCGAAAGAAGGTCTTGGAGCAAAACGTTTCCAAAACCCTGCTTCTCATATTCCATAGAAGTTCAGAATTTGGCTACATGAGTTCTGCATGGTGTTGTATCAGCTAGTGACGTTTCATGTGAATCGTAGCATCGAGCATTGTAAGTTAGGTGTTAAAGGTCGTGGCGATGTCCCTCTGAGGGAGATTCTCAAAGGGTAAAAAAACCACAATCCGACATGTAGGTTGGCCTCAAACCTCATCAGCAGCCATCTCTCTTCAGCATGCACAACACTCGATGGTACCGATTTCCCATCGCAGTAAGCCCGCAATACTCACTCGCCCGAAGGGGAACGTGACCAGGGCCTTGTAATTCCCATGTAACGTGGTGGAAACCATTACGGCGGCGCGCTCTAGTTCAGCACCTTCTAACAGGAACTAAAGCACCAACTGCTGCCAACGATACTTTACACGTGCGTAGCTGCTGCGTGAGTTCGCGGGTCACAAGAAAGCCTATAATGTTACAAAAGATAACGTCTATGTTCGCGCTACTTTCAGAGGTTTCTTATAAGTACAGATAATGAATAATTGAACATTTAGAAGACACTTTTCGTATTTCTCACAAATTAGCCAATTTGTATGTGGGAAATTTGACGAGCCTAATCTCCAACTGCACCCAGCGACACTAGCGTCTCCTATAGTAGCTACATCCAGCTTTTTTGTTATTTAAGGTCGCATCAACTTCTAGGTCATTAGCGACTATTATTGCTTGTTACGGTATGGTAACTGTGAGGATGACATGATATGATGATGATGATAGGGAGTGAAAGAACGAGCAAAATTCAGTCATGCCTGAGGGGGGATTCGAACCCGCGATTCTTCGGTCCGAGATCGCTACGACACTGCGATCTCGGCCACCGGATCGGCACCCTACAGCTTCGTACCGGTTTTGATGGAGATTTGCAAGGCCCTGAACGTGGCCCGGTACTCACGTGGTGGGTTCGTCCAGGAAGATCACAGGCGGGTCGTCGAGTAGCTCCAGGGCGATGGAGAGGCGCTTACGCTCGCCGCCAGAGAGCTCCCCTGCGCCTGTGGCCGCCGCCGCCGTCAGCCCCAGCGCTTCCATCGCGTGTTCCACCTGCGAAAAAAGCGCTCGTCAGCCCATCCCAGAGCCCATCCCAGAGCCCATCCCAGAGCCCATCCCAGAGCCCATCCCAGAGCCCATCCCAGAGCCCAGCCCAGAGCCCATCCCAGAGCCCAGCCCAGAGCCCAGCCCAGAGCCCAGCCCAAAGCCCAGCCTAGCCCAGAGCCCAGCCCAGCCAGGGTCATGCAAATGCACGCGGACCACAGCACCGAGAGCAGAAGCGGTCGCTTCGTACGGGCTCTAAGGCGGTGCCCTCTTTATGGAATCAATCACGGGGGAAGTTGCAGAAGGAATTGAAATTACTCCAAATCGATTCGGCCTCACGGCCACATGAGTGTTGCTAAATGGCTTATGCATTTGCGCGGTCAGACGGAAGGGCATATCCAATGTCCTGAAACTCGCCACCTAAAATAAGGCTTGATTGGTTGATAAATTGACGTTTCAGGTTTCAGTCGCTCCTCAGCAGGCACATTTCTCATTTGACCAACATGGACATATCTGAATGTCTGAAGTTTGATTGGGAAAAATTGTAAACGTACCTAATTACAAGATTGATGAGTTCAGGAGAACATGTATGTTAGATGAATCTTTAAACTATAAGTAAGGGAATAGCGGACTAAACATAATTCAAGCAACATACGTCAAAAGGCGTTATAACCAAAGTATTATAATTAAAAGTCGCGAGGAAGTAAGGAATACAGAGAAGCGTGTTCGGACAGTGTGATAATGGCGCGGCAGGGGCCACGGAAATTGCTCGTAGCTCTACTGCGCTATCGGGGTCTCCCTTTGAAAGCCAAAAGAAGACGCACCGCTTTCTAGGGACGGAAACGTGGGAGCTCTGCCGCAGATTATCCCTCCACAAGCGGACGGATCTCCTGATGTGCCCTGGCTCAGCGCTACCCTGCGGGCTACAGGTGTGGCCCCTTAACGAGGTGTGACCCGCAACTCAGCTCGACGGGAAGTGGAGAGGAGGCGCTCAGGCGCTCGGCTCTAGTCTAGTGTAAGGGAAGTGGCAACCGGAAAACTGCAACGGTCCATCCCAAGCCGCATGCCTAGAATTCTTGCATATGGGCAGGCCTGGTCTAGATCTATGTCGAAGTCGCTGTCCTCTGTAGATCTCTAGGACGGCTCTTCAAATGCAAGAATTCGGGCCAGACTGCCAGCTGTAGCCCGTTACAGTTGTCCACGTGCCACTCACCTTCCACTAGACTAGAACTGAGCGCCCGAGCACCTGATCACATCCCCACCCCTTTTGTTCGGACTGACACGACAAGCGGCGCGCCACACCGGGCCCCGCCGATGGACGTTGGGCCAGGGCACGTTAAGTGGGTCGCCTACTTGAGCACCTCTTTCTTAGATAATAGGTTAGAACCTCTTAGACCCAATTAAAACATTTATTTTTGTTCCACCATTCCGAGCTTATCTGTTCCGCTGCTCCTATTTGGATTCGCGAACAGGATTGGTGTGTAAGATGGCGGTGTCGAACACGTTCTGACAAAGGTCTGGAGGGTCCCCCTAGGGGTCGAATTTCGCTGCGAAACCCCGTTAGCCCGAACTGCAGGTCGATCGCTGGTCACCGCAATTCAAATTGTGGTCGATCCACGTGGAGTTTGTGCAGGGCAAGACACGTTTGCGGAAAGTTCCGGGGTTCTCCCGTGTTCTATACCTTGCACTCCACCACTGACGAATCATAATCATCAATCACCTTCTCCTTCAAGGTAATAGTTTCTCGACTGAAATGGCAGATTAGTCTCTCCTGTTATAATAAGTAGACTTTGATATGTGAATATTTTATAAATTTGTATTTTTTAAGTTTTTCTATATTATGTTGGGATATACAGAAATCTTCGCCCAATTATCAGAATTATTAATATTTTCTATTTTTCTCCGCAACATGAATTTTGTGAACGAATTTTATATTTTTGTAAAATTGAGTTTTGTAGTGATGTGGCGAGAAGTGGCTTATATTGAAACCCCAGGAAGACGCAAACAACTCGCAACAATGACCCCTTACTCAGGAGAAATGTAGTAATAAGAACCTTGAAGCCTTTAAGCACGTATAGTAGCCACGTGTGTAGATGGCTGTGGTTAAGAAAACGTGATCAAACTTTCTGAAACACAGCTTAAAATATACTAACCGGTTTAAAGCGGCAAAATTTACTCGCTTCGCTACCTCATTTCCGAGTCAAGGACGCCAACCGGTTCCCACCGGTTCTGTTTCCGCGATAATGAAGAAAACGTTCTTCGGTTCTGCCAACGCAAAATTGCCAACCCACTGGACGCCAACATTCAGTTACGTCTGAAAATGACTCGCTTTGCTTGCTTAGATTGATTAATGATTCCGTGTGCGTCAACTGCTAAGTCATTGGTCCCGTAAAAGTTGTCCATGTTTTTATCGTGGGAGGGGGCGGTTCTCACCTCGCTGACAAGCGAAATCCAGCGTCGACTGACGTCCACTTGCAGGGATTTTTCCAAACTTGAAGCCCCCGACTGGTCTCCGGACAAGTGTGGTAGTGTACTGCTTGTGCGTGTGTGTGTGTGTGTGTGTAAGTAAGGAGTGAGAAAAAAGGAAGACGAAAGAATGATCGCGAATGGTTTGTAGCCCGTTTGTTAGAGTACTGCTCCGGCATTCGACTGATACTGATCGGAGAAACCTCGGAAAACTACCCACCAGAGCAGTGGCCATTACAATTTTTCTCCAGGCAGTTTTATCTTAAAATGTCATCTCTAGGTATTTTTATTTAAGTAGTATGGAAGTGGACGTGGCCGTTTTGAAACTTCGTGGGTGATGCTTCAATGTCATGGATGTTGGTTTTCGTTGTGAAAATAGTTAATAGTTTGCTTTCTACTCTTGGACACACTGTTTCTGAAAACAACTGAGGGTTGAGTAGCGTCAAAATAACGATGTGTGTGTTTGCCCACCATATGCACCAAGAATGTCATGAAAACTTTAGGGGCCATATCCCGTCACTTTAAAATTTTCACCTTTATGGAACATTTTCTCAAAAACTACTACTGGGAGGATTCTCAAATTTTAACAGAGCAAGTAGTATAGCAGTTTATATACTTTAATAGGACGTATTTAGTAAGTGTAAATAAATAGACAATATTCTTATAAATGTTACCATTTTTAAGAACAAAACAGATCACAATGAACAGAAATTTATATTTTAAAAACTAGTAATTCTTTAATCGGTTTCGTTAAAATACTTATAAATAATGAATCGACATTCACATAAAATCTCACGACTGTAAATTCGTTTCTGAGAAAATGTTCACTACATTAACATAGGTCATTCCGGCTGCAGTCTTTGATACAGTACAATGTAGTTGAGGAGATGAGGCAGGGAGGACGGAGGAGGAGGTGGCGATGTGAAGAAGTCGGTGACAAGACCAAGCAGAGTTTAGGCAGAAGAGACCAGGCAGAAGGGCACGGAAGATGAGGTGGGGCAGGGAGGATGAGAAAGCCAAGCAGTGTGTATGAAGCTGCGAATTAGTGCCAGTGAGAAGGCGAGGCGAGGAGGTTGCGGAGGCGAGGAAGGCTGGTCGAGGAGAGGAGGCAGTGTGAATGAAGGGTAAGGTAAGGTAGGGTGGAAGGAAAGACGAAGTAGGGTGAATGACGAGGTAACATAGGTGGATAAGAAGACAAGTCATGATGAATGTAGTGGGGAGACAGACTGGAATGTGGCAGCGAGGCACGGTGGTTTAGTAGACGAGACAGGCTGAATGACGACGCAAGGTAGATTGGATGGCAAGACGAATCGCGGCGATGCAGGGTGGATGGGAAGACGAGGCAGGGTGGATGTCAATCTCCCTCAAGCTGGCACCCTAGCTTCATAGAAATTTAAAATCAACTAACCCATAATTTTCTATTAATTTTGTACCAAAATAACATTTGTACTCAGTTATAAACAATAATAAAATCGGTGCCAATGAAGCACTTTGCACGTAAATTGACAATATTTTTAAAACCCACTTTGAGTCAAATCTCAAAATTGAAATTTACATTCCAGTTTTCGATCATAGTGATCTTTAACATGTGATAGTTGAAAAGTTTTATCGGGCTCCCAAGAGATATGATAGTTGAAAATTTGGAAAGAATACGAAATGTAAATTTTTACTCCGGGGTAATTTTTAAGTGATTCGCTACTTGTCATTAATATTTCACGTAAAGTAAGTACATTGTTATGTGTAAAACCTCAAAAAATGAAATTAAGACTGTAACTATATTCAATTATGAAAAAACTCCCCAAAAAATTAATACATAATTAGTAGAAAATAATAAACCATTTCATTTCCAATTTCTGAGAAGTAGGGGTTCTGGCTTGACGTCACGCGGGCACCTCCATTTTTGTATGTCATTTTTAATTGTTTGTAATTGAGTAAATTTCTTTTATTTTCGTACAAAATTAGTGTATAATTAGTACAAAATTTTAGGCTAGTTTCTTTTTAATTTCTGAGAAGTGGGGGTGTCAGCTTGACGAAGGTTGAATGTGGAGCCAAGGCTGGACGGTTAAGGTCATTCAATAATTAAAGAGAAAAAATTGATCTTGAAAAAAAAAAAGGTTGGCCATCACTGAGATGAGCCCTCGACATCATCATTGTTGTGATCATTACCTCAAAATGAAGGTGAACGATGGCGAGTCCCCTTGAAAATTGCACATTGCTTCAACAACGTTCTGTGATTCTTTTTATGTTGAAAAACTAGCTAATATAAGTATATGTGTGTATATATGTATGTATGTATGTATATAATGTATATGTGTATATATGTATATATATATATGTATACATATATATACATGTATATATGTATATATGTATAAATGTATATATGTATATATGTATATATGTTATATGTATATATGTATATATGTATATATGTAATATATGTATATAGTATAATGATATATGTATTATGTATATATGTATATATGTATATATGTTCTATGTATATATGTATATATGTATATATGATTAAT